TAACTGTAGCAGTCTTGCACGTGTGACAACCTTGTGGACTTTCATCCAGACTGTAAAGTGAAGCCAAACTCTTGCCAAATCCAGTGTTCTACCATGGATGTTTTCCAGAGCGTGAAGGTGGCCAAGAGAGGCGACATTCCAGAGCCTGTGGACTGAGCATTTTCAAGGTTTTGTGTGGCCCTTAACAAGAATGGGCACTTATGCTGGCACATCAGTATAGTTAACACAAATGGGACATTAGCCAGGGCAAGAATGCCCACCAGCTACTAGCCACTTTTGTTCTTCCAACAGTGTAAGACTGCCTAGGTACAAGGCAACCTTGGCAGTTGCCTGCACCTGGGGCACAAGTACTTTTAAATTCTTCTGGATTTTTAAACTTTCATTTAACATTTTGGAAATGAAAAACCAAAAGAATAATAATGCATGTGTGTATCCACACTTACTCAGATGTGCTCGTCAGAGCTGAGGCTTTCTGTGGTCACGCTGACCATACATTAATCCCTCTCTGCTCCCTCAGGGCAATCACTTTCTCCATTGCTGTATTTTTCTTATTTTGCAACATTTTGAAAACTTTTTTTAAAAAAAAGAAAGTTTTTTTTTTTTTTGTAATTGGAAAGTCAGCTATATAGAGAGGAGGAGAAACAGAGAGGAAGATCTTCTGTCTGCTGATTCACTCCCCAAGTGGCTACAACAGCTGGAACTGAGCTGATCTGAAGCCAGGAGCCAGAAGCTTCTTCTAGGTCTCCCACATGGGTGCAGGGTCCCAAGGCTTTGGTCCATCCTTGACTGTTTTCCCAGGCCACAAGCAGGGAGCTGGATGGGAACTGGAACTGTTGGGATTAGAACCTGTGCCCATATGAGATCCTGATGCATGCAAGGTGAGGACTTAAGCCACTAGGCTATTGCTCCAGGCCCAGTCAGGACTTTTTTCTGGATCTCTTATGCAGGTTCAGGGTCCCAAGACTACCCTAGGGTTCCCCTCTACCCTACCAGACCATAGCAGGGTGCTACATGGGAAGTGGAGCCCCTAGGACACAAACCGGCATCTGTATAGGATCCTGGTGCACACAGGTGAGGATTTAGCCACTGAGCCATCACACCAGGTCCCTCCATGTTTTGTTTCTTTTAACCCTTATACAACTCTATAAGGCAAATTCTGGTGCAATGTCCATCGTACAGATATGAACACTTGAGGCAAAGAGGTCAACCTAAGCCATAGCTTGACCTAAGCCATAGAACTGGTAAGTTTCTAGCTAAGCTTCAAACCCAGAGTTCGTGCTGCTAGTCTACTATGAAGGACTTCATAATCTAACCTCCTGATGAAGAGTGAGATAAAGATATATTAGCCATTAGGGACACTGCCCTAAGGGAGACACAGCTTTCCAGAGATCAAGGGTGGGGAGCATATCCAAGTTATGACACCTGCTGTGTCATTGTTTCTGTAGTAGGTAGGCTCTGCATGTTGGCTCAACTGGCTAATCTTCTGCCTCAAGTCCCAGGATACCTCACAGGCATCCGTTTGTGCCTGGCTGCTCCACTTGCTATCCAACTCTCTGCTTGTGGCCTGGGAAAGCAATAGAGGATGGCACAAAGCCTTGGGACTCTGCACCTACTTGGGAGACCTGGAAGAATCTTCTAGTTTCGAATTGGCTCAGCTCTTGGTGCTATGGCCACTTGAGGAATGAACCAGTGGACGGAAGATGTTTGTCTCTCCTCCGTGTAAATCTGACTTTCCAATAAAAATAAGTAACTTTATGATTTCTTTTTTAAGGATTTATTTATTTTTATTGGAAAGTCAGATAAATAAAGAGGAGGAGAGACAAAGAGGAAGATACTCTGTCCACTGATTTACTCCTCAAGTGACCGCAATGGTTAGAGCTGAACAGATCTGAAGCCAGGAGCTCAGAGCTTCTTTTCGAGTCTTTCACGTGGGTGCAGGGTCCAAAGGCTTGGGCCATCCTCAACTGCTTTCCCAGGCCACAAGCAGGGAGCTGGATGGGAAGTAGAGCTGCTGGGATTAGAACCGACGCCCATATGGGGTCCTGGTGCATGCAAGTTGAGGACTTTAGCCACTAGGTCATCATGCTAAGCCCCCAAACAAATAACTCTTTAAGAAAAAAAAAAAGACTGTAGCATAAAGAATTGCATTGGGTTGGTACGTGATCCAAGTTAGGAGGTAAAGGCCCAGTGGAAGGCATGAGTAGGCTGAGAGTCAGCTTGCTTCTAATGTAACATCCCTGACAAATGTGTCCCTGTATGGGAAGTGACACTGTGTATTTCTATCCTTTAGCCCTGCCCCATCCTCAGCTCTTTATAGATGTAATTTCTTAAACTGTTATCATGTATTTACTTGAGAAGCAGAGACGGTGGGGTAGAGAGAGGGTCAGTTAGGGAGCTCTCATCCGCTGCTTCACTCTACATGCTCAGGCTGGTTCTGGCCAAAGCTGGCAGCCAAGAATGCAGCAGGAATCTCACGTGGGTGGCAGGACCCTGACCCTGTGAGTTAGTCCTGGTGTCTCTCATAGTGGGCACATTAGCAGCAGTCTGCGGTTGGGAGCTGGGACCAGGGGACTAGAACCCAGGCACTCAAATGAGGTGCTGAGACCCTCACGGGCAGCTCAGCGCTAGGCTGAACATCTGCTCTGACACAGGTTATCAATAACCTTTGAGATGACCCTACAATCTAGGCATTATCAGCTTTCATTTCTAGACTACAAGATGGAGGCTCTTGAGAGGTCACAGGGCAGGATTGGGATTTGAATCAGATTGTTCCCACTGTCTTGGTGCCATCTGGGGAAAAGTCTTGATGGTTCAGGCGAGAAGCCTGCATTGCACTTGGCAGGTTGTGGCAGGGCCAGGGCCACATTGTAGCTGATTTCAGAGGACTAGTATCTTTTGGTTAGGAGAAGGGAAATGGTTCCATTACAAGAGCAGTGGTGCCACTGCACAGGAGGCCGGCAGGTGCAAGAGCCATACAGCGACCACCTGGAGCGGCGTCAGCGTTTGGAGGCAAAAGTAAAGCACAGAGAGAAAGAAGTGGGGAGTATTTTGGAATTTGGGAGCCTCTCAGTCCTCAGCGGGTGTAAACCCAAAACCCAGGGGGCAGGAAGGCAAGCTGGGTGTGCAAGACCAGCAAGTGGCGAAGTGATACAGTTCACTTGGGATCTGGAGGTGCTGGTGATTTTGGGATCTGTACGGAGACGAGAGATGGGTCCAGATCCAGTTAGCCAAACAGAGGTGAGTGTCAAAACCTTTTCTGCATTAAGTTTCCACGTGCATTGCAGAGATTTTCTGCAAGCAGAAGCCAACAGTGCTGCAGCCAACCTGTAAGGGCTAAGTAACAAGGGCTAGGGGAAGTGAAGAAGTGAAAGAGGAGGCAGGTGGCTAGTTGAAGTCCTGAGGAGGGGAGCACGAGGTCAGACAGGACCACGCTGTGCGCAGGCCTAGACCCAGGGTAACACTGACACCCACACGGTGACAGAACCTTCTGGTGGTTTCCCTGCTGCCCAGGGGGTGGCAGGGGGAGGCAGGGGAGGAGTGCAAGCAGGCTCTGGAGTAGGGGGTCCCAGAGCCCCCATCTCTCTATAACTGATGATATAACATTGGAAAATTACTTACCTTCTCAGAACCCACTGCTTATTTGTCCAAACGTGAGTACTAAATAACGTGTGTACATTTGGTTTAAGTGTCTCTTCCACCGCTTGACGTAACAAGGTTAGGAAAGCCCAAATCATGCTTTGCTTTATGTTATTTTTATTGCTGACCCTTGGTACCCCTTATTTCCCAGTCTTGCCTGCAGGAGGGCACGCGTGTGGGACTTGTGTGTGTATCCATTTAGTTCTCATTGGGGGTGCCGGGTCCTGCCAACAGGAATCGGTCAGTAGCCCCTGGTTTACTAATAGGATCTGCTCAACGTTTAATTGACCGCCTGCCATGCCCTCGTTACTGTGCCAGACTCCATTAGGGTAGAGAGAGACGGAGATCTTCCAGCAACTGACATTGGAGAAACGACAATGGGAGTCCAGAGGTGGAAAAAAGGGATTGGGGAGGGGGTCTGCGGGGGGGGGGGCGGTTCACTTGCATTGGATTCCTAGCGGAAGGTGCCATTCCTTGCAGAGAGCTAGATGTTCCTTAAAAAAGTCTTGAGCAGATGACAGAATTCCCAGATCAGGAAAAAAGATTAACGAGAAACTGTTCGGACCACCTGAGGGTTTTCCAATGCAAGCTGCGTTCTCGCTGCCTCCTTCTTAGGCTATTCGGCAGGATGCTGTAACCCTCGCAGGGCAACTGCAGCAGCCGCAGAGTTGCGGTTTATCTTTGAAGCCGACTTGGGTGACGACGACTTATTTGGACAGCAGTCGGTGAAGCCTCGTAAACTCTCGGAAGCCGCTGTTTCCAGACTTCAGACTTCATCCTTGTCAAATCCCCCAGCTCGTCTTCTCCGCCCGCCCGGGTGTGAAAGGTGCAGCCAGAAGGCCCAATTAGCGTCCCTGGGAAGCGGAGTGGGGGGTGGCGGGGTCTCTGCGGATAGACTGTGGCTCCTCCCCGCGTCCTGCCAAACTCCGACTTCGCCACACCAAAGATGGCCGCCCCGCGACTCTTCTCCCCCTTCTCGTCTAAGCTCGCGCGCAACTTTTGGCCACACTCAACATGGTGCCCGTCGCAGGTTGCATTCCTGCGGCGCGGTCTCGGGCCCGTTCTCGCGAGATGTGCCTGGGCCGCGACTGCTCCCGCCCTGCCTCGCGCCGCCGCCACTGCCGCTGCTGCCGGCGCCGCTCCTCCTCCGTGTCAGTTGTTGGGCCGTAATGGCGACCGGGCCGCCGCTGCCCAAGTGACTCCCGGGCGGGGGAGCGGGGCCGGACCTGCGCCAGAGGGGAAGCCGCAGAGAGCCGCAGCTCAGGAGGTGGCCTGCCGTGGGGGGGAAGGGAGGCAGCCGGCCGCCTCTGCCTCCTTCCCCGCTGACCGGCGGATCCCGGGCAGCCGGTGCGCGGCGGGCAGTCGGGGCGTCCCCGGAGCGGGGCAGAGACCAGGCCGGGCAGCCCTGGGGCCGGTCGGGGCGGCGTCGCGGCACCCTCCGCCAGGCCCCGCGGGATGCACCGTGGGAGCCGAGGGCGGAGGCGACACTCTCAGGTGAGCCTCGGGAGGAGCTGGCGGCGTTGGCTCCGTCTCGGCTTCCTCTGTCCGCGCTCCCGGGTCCCGGGGGGCGGTCAGGAGAGGCGGGGCGCGGTGCGGGGCGCCCCTGCTGCGTGCCCACACCCCGCCTGGGCCCCGGGGTTTGCAGGGGAGCCTCGTCCCTCTGACAGCGTGGTTTCAGGTGCCCGACCCCTTGCCTGACAGCTTGTGTGTGTGTGTGTGTCCCCTCCCTCCTGCGCCTCTCGCCTTTGGTCTCCGAAGTGTCCCTTCTCCGTGGGGAGACCAGCCCGATTTGGGGACATTCCGGGGGACTGGCCCCGGTGGCAGGGATGACCAGTTTTGGTTCCTTGTTCTCAAGTGTGTAGGGAAAACTTTGAGGGGCTGCAGTTCAGCGAGCCACTACCTGTGTGTGCACAAGTGACTTCGGGGGGCGGGGGCGGTGGATCAAGCTTTGCGCTTGGGAACTTGTCAGGATTCCGTCCCCCGCCCGTCGTGCACACGCAGCCCCCCGCGCCGAGCAGGGTTTAGGTGCTGTCACAGAGGTGGGTGGGGATGCGCCTGGATCGAAACGTTTCAGACAAGGAGTTGCACGGCCGGACAGGTTGCATTGGGCTTCATCTGGGGGTTGTCCGGAAAAGCGATTAGTATCCACGCACGCCCCCTGATTGTTTTGATGCTGAGCTTTGTTTTGAGTTTGGAGAAGTCGTTAAAGTTGCCATGTTAACCACACCTCCTGGCCTGTGTTTTGGAGGTTTTAAAGGAGGGGTTATCTTAGGCAGACTTAATGACAACCTGAGTATTGTGGAAGCCATGATAAGATGCTAAATGCTGCTCTTCATTTTTAAAATGCACTAAAATGCTATATTCCAGCCAGGTATGGCACTAGTGATAAGAGAGGATTGTGGCTTTGGGGGGTTGATCCTTACACCTGTACTGGAAGGCAGTTCTGCTATGCTATATTGATACTCAGCGTAATAAAGTCCATCTTTACTGTTGACCTGTCGTTGCGTTAAGTTTATGGTACTCATCAGGGAATAAAGGTTCTGCTGTATACCTGGTACGTGTGGAGGTATATTTCTGTACGTGTGTGTCTCACTCGGGGTTTTTCGTGAAGCTGAGTTATACGTGTTTGAGTTTGTGAGGTGTGTCAGTGTGTGGTGTTATGTAATGCTAATGCTTGAACGGCCTTCTGCGGGGTCCTCAGCTTGTGAATCATGAAGTTTTGAATTCTTTGCTGCTGCTAAATGTCCCTGCCCTTGCCCATTTTGTAGCAGTTGTGCCGTATCCTGAGCGTAACAAGAGATGAGGTTCCTGTGTGATAGCCATTCTTGAGTGGGAGTCTGGAATAACTGACGTCTCTTTTTGGTGTGCTCCCTACACTGTGTTTTGTCTCCCCAGATATGCGCACATCTGGATGCTGCAGTTGTGGAAGCTAGCAGCCACGTTCCTTTATGTGTGAATGACGCTTTTAGTTCTTCAGATAACCTAGAATTAGTTTTATCTGCAATTTGATATTAATATATTCTTCAGGCATTATTTATTATTTTAAAATAAAAAACATTCTATTTTTGTTCCTTTGTACATACCACTTGCTCTGTGTTGATGATTGCCATTTCTTTAAAAACAATGTTTTTATAACATTTTAAAAATTATTGGCAGGTCATGAAATTGTCAGAATGAGTCACTGTACTTTATACCTGAACAAGATCGTTAAGAAGTTGCATTTGATTTATTGCCTTCCATTTTGTTTGGCTACTCAGTTCTGTCATTTTTGATTCTTCAAATCATTTGCTCTCCTGATTGTATTCAAGCCACATAATCAGCAGCACAACCGTGAAGTAACTTGTTGATACTGAGGGTTTTAGGAGCTGTCTACAGTTGTCAGTGTATAGCGTGGGCCAAGTTGCGAAATAGTTTACTGACTTCCATGTTTAGTGTCACAGACAAAAAAATTAAGAGATGATAGTTTTATTTTTTTAAAAAGATTTATTTCATTTTTATTGGAAAGGCAGACATACAGAGAGGAGGAGAGACAGAGAGGAAGATCTTCCATCCGATGATTCACTCCCCAAGTGAGTGTAACGGCTGGTGCTGCATCTATCTGCAGCCAGGAGCCAGGAACCTCCTCCAGGTCTCTTACATAGGTGCAGGGTCCCAAGGCTTTGGGCCGTCCTCGACTGCTTTCCCAGGCCACAAGCAGGGAACTGGATGGAAAGTGGAGCTGCCGGGATTAGAATGTGGGCCCATATGGAATCCTGGCATGTTCAAGGCGAGGACTTTAGCTGCTAGACCATAGTGCTGGGCCCAACAGTTTTAATGTGGTAGTGATGTTTTTGCTCGTTGTTACCATAAATGTAATTTTATATCTACTTGGGTATTTTGGGTTATTCTGTACCTTTTTCCATGATAACGGAGATCCTTTATTTGGCATGTAGTAAGACAGTCCATGGGTTACATACAGTTGAACAAATTGACTAAAGAGTTGCTCCAGGATAATATTTTAGAAACAAAACAAAACTTTGTTCCTAGTTCTTTGGCACATCTCAACCCTTCTTGGAAACATGTTCTAGAGAGGTATGTTTAAATTTGCTGGGAAGGGGAAGTGTTGGGCTGAGAGCCAGCTCAGGTGGACCTTGAGCGCTCTGCTGGCCAGTTTAATGGCTTGTGCAGGTGCACTGGTGATACTTGGGGTAATTTAAAGAAAATTGAAACTCGAAGACCCTAACCTGCTATGGTAGAACTGTAATTACAGGTTTGTAATAAGTGTAAGTCACTTCTGAAGCATAGCATTGGGAGTTTTAAAGTCTTAAAGGTCATTTCCACGTTTTATGCAGGCTCACGCAGGGGATGTCTCAGCCATGGCTGGTTTAGGGCTGGAGTACCCAGTCTGCAGCAGCTGAGTCTTTGAGAGAGTAATTGGGATCTACCTGGCAGCCTATTCTGTATCAATATTAGTAACAACTTAAAATGAGCCTTGGTGTATGAACCAGAAATATTTGTGAGTGTAAAACGAATCTCTACCCCCTCCAGACATTGGGGTATCGATTGCTATAGGTGGCAGAAAGTTCTGATGCGATTTGACATTTCTTATCAAAATCTTAAGTATCCTTACTTTATGTAAGGTGTATTTACTTATTTGAAAGTCAGGGTTACACAGAGGGGAATAGACAGAGAGATCTTCCATCCACAGATTCACTCCCCAAATGGCTGCAGTGGCCCGGCACTGGGCCAGGCCGAAGCCAGGAATCTGGGACCTTTTTCTGAATCTCTCACGTAGGCGTAGAAGCCCAAGTGCTTGGGCCATCCTCTGCTGCTTTTCCAGGTACGTTAGCAGGGAGCTGAGTTGGAAGTGGAGCAGCTGGGTTTTGAACTGGTGCCCATATGGGATGCAGACAGTATAGGCAGTGGCTTAAGTCACTATGTCACAACCCAAGTCCCAGGATGTGTATTCTTTAATGGCGTAATTTTTAGGAGTTTATCTTATATGAATTTTAACATAGCATGAGAATAAATGTGTAATTAATTATTCCTCTAAAAATTGATATTTGATATTTCATTATGTTATTAGCAGATTTGCTTATGTAATTTTTTAAAAAAATATTTATTTATTTTTATTGCGAAGTCAGATATACAGAGAGGAGGAGAGACAGAGAGGAAGATCTTCCATCTGATGATTCACTCCCCAAGCAACTGCAATGGCTGGAGCTGAGCTAATCCAAAGCCAGGGGCCAGGAGCCTCTTCCAGGTCTTCCACATGGGTGCAGGGTCCCAAGGCTTTGGGCCGTCCTCGACTGCTGTCCCAGGCCACAAGCAGGGAGCTGGATGGAAAGCAGAGTCGCCAGGATTAGAACCGGCACTCATATGGAATTCCAGTGTGTGCAAGGTGAGGACTTCAAACCACTACACCATTGTGCTGGGCCCTGCTTATGTAATTCTAAAATGACCAGTCTTTATATTAGGCAGTTATTAGTAGCTTTAGGATGCGTGTTGACTCTGTGAAAGCAGCGGTGTGTATACTTCACTATGTGGACCATGTCACAGATTCTGTGGGTTCAAGTCCTCTCTGTGCTACTTGTTAGCTGAGACTATCAGCAAGTGACTTAAATTGATCTGTAATGTGTATGAAAAAAAACAAAGTGTCAGAATTGTTCTCATCTTTCAGGCCTATTACAAGAATTAAATAAATTGGGCCCTGCACGATGCCTTTCCCTACAAGTGCAGGTGTCCTGGTGGCCTGCTTCCCATCCAGCTCCCGCCTGTGACCTGGGAAAGCAGTGGAGGATGGCTGGAAGAAGCTCCTAGCTCCTGGCTTGGGATCAGCTCAGGAGCCACATTTATTTATTTGAAAGGAAAATAAAAAGATCTTCTGTCTGCCAGTTAGCTTTCTCCAAATTCTTGTACCAGCCATCCCTGGGCCAGCTGGAGTCAAGGGCCTGGGACTTTTTCTGGGTCTCCCACATGGGTGGCAGGGACCTAAGTACTTGTGCTATTATCTGCTACCCTTTTGGGTGCGCAGTAACAGGAAAGTTGAGCAGAAGCAGAGGTGGGGAATTAAATGTAGGAATTCCAATATTGTAAATGCTGTGCCTGGTACTTGCTCTGAATTGATTTTGGACGGAGCCAGTGTCATGGACCAGTGGTTTTTGGTAGCATCCAATACTGTAATAGTGGTTAAGTCTTGGCTGCTCAGCTTCCAACCCAGCTTTTTGCTGATGTGCTTGGGACATAACCCAGAGACCGCGTGATGCTAGTGTCACAGTGCAGGCTTTACTAGCTATGCCGTAGGCCAGCCCCTAAGTGAGTCTTTGTAAAAATGTATTTTTGACTATGTTTTTTCAAGATTTGCAAATTTAATTAACAGAATATTACATGATTAGTCCCTTTTTAAAAATCGGATGAATGTTTGAAATTAGTCTATGAAAGTTTTGAATGTATTTTTCTAATGGATTTATGAATAACTTTTATTTATTCTTTTTAAGATTTGTTTTTATTGGAAA